CCTTCGTTTTCCACGCGTGACCACATGTGAAGCCGGGCCAAACGGATGGTGTATCGCCGTGTGGTGCTATGGCTTTTTGGGGATGGCGTGATGGCATGGCATGGCATGGCGTGGCATGGCATGGCGTGGCATGGCATGGCATGGCATGGCATGATGGCATGGCGTGGCATGAATGATGACAGTGGGCGTGTTGGAGATGCTGGCATCTGCATGGAGCGGCATACAAGGCACGGACACGTGGGTCAGAGGCAGGGACTGCGACAGCATGGCTGCAGTTAAATGTGACGTCAACGGCCACGTCATCAGGATGTATGCATCAGTTCTTGTCAGAGATGGAACACGACAACACTTCGTCGTTGGGCATTTGCCACCACCACCACATGCAGCTCCAGCCTTGGCACTTACTCCCTGTGCTCCAAAGCGATTGTCGACAGAGGCACTACCAATTTCACCACAGTCTGTCTCCTGTGTGCTCCCCCGCTCGGCAGTGACACACACGGCAGCAAGATAGCGGCCTCCATCCCAGAAGGCATCAGCGGCTTGAAGCACCTGTCGGTCCTGTGAGTGGCGCGGGTGTTATGCCTCGATATGCATGGTCTGGTACTAAGACACTATTTATAACACCTCGCTACCCACTGGGTCCAAACGAGGGTGTTATTCGGTGCAGCGCCAACTCTAGCCCACAGGCGTTGGCGAGTCTCTCAGGGAGTTCCCCCCCTCCCCCTGCAGGAACCTAGATTTCGCTGAGGAGGCAGCGACCTTTTTGGTGGACCAAGCCAGCAGAGGATCGTTTGCTGGGTTCAAGTCTGGTTACCACATTCGGGTTCTTACCTCAGGGAGAAAATGTGGACCAGCCGGGATTTAAACCCTAGGCTCTGATACCAGTATAACACCTCGCTACCCACTGGGTGAAAACGAGGGTGTTACTTTGCGCAGCGGAATGCCAACTAAACGAGCCCACAGACCCGCAAACGAGTTTCCTCGCTGGGTGCACGCACCCTTGTTTTGACTCACTTTGCTCTCGCCCCTCCCCACGGAGTACCTGCCTTCCTCGCTCTACGTTCACAAATTTCCTCTTTATCTTTACGTCGTCGCCTCTTTCTGCAGGAGCATGGAGGCCAGTAAGCTTAAGGGCTCCCTGCCTGCTGCTCTCTTTGCGCTGCCCAACCTGAAGCAACTGTGAGCCCCCATGCGCTCTCCACACGCCCTGCCGCTCCAGTTGGCCCACCATGTGATGCCATGCACACTGGTGAAGTTCCCCATGCGTTGTGACGCTCGATTTAGTAACGAGCTCTTCTCCCGCCATGTGTACCATGACTTGTTGCTTCTTACACCCACCCTGCCTGCACCACATGCATGGGCGGCACCGCTTTGATGCAAACACACACATATGCATGCATGCTGATACCAATCCATGTGGTGCTCATGTGCAGTGTTCTCGCAAAGAATCATCTATCGGGCAGCATTCCGTATACAGTGGGCATTGCGGAGAGCTTGGAAACCCTGTCAGTCCAGTGTGCTTTCTTCCACCACCACATTCGCCACCTTTTCCACATGCTTGCCACTTTTGTTTCCTCGGCTGGTTCGAAATCCTCTCTCTTGCCCAACCACCCAAATGGCGTACATTGAGCCTCCATTCTCTTATTTCACGTCACTCTCATTCGTGCCTCCTGTTGCACCATTGTCTCTCTCATGTCGGTAACCCCACCACAGATGCCTATCTGACAACCAGCTTAACGGCACCCTCCCTTCCACTTTGGGAAACCTCTCTGCGCTCGTCAACCTGTGAGCTCCCTCTCTCCCCGCTTGCTCCTCCAGTTCCTTGCTGCACCACACAAGCGGCGACACGAGAGCATGAATGTGGATGGGCGGATGTGCCTGTGAGTGTACAACGCGTGTCAGAACGTGTGATGGAGCAAGTGTGATGGCCTGTGCAGCTGCCACATACGAAGCCTGCCCCACCACTCTCGGCCCTTTTCTGACCATCGTGCAGCGTTCTCAACAACAATGGACTTTCGGGCTCCATTCCAGGGTCGCTCAGCAGCCTGCAGAAGCTTCAGTACATGTGAGTTGCTGCCCTATCATTGCACTTGACAGTACTGCATGCCTGTAAGAATGTACTTCCGCCGTGACTGAAAAAACTGTTGGCAGTCGCGGTCCATCCTGCAGAAAAAGCACCGCCCTCTCTTTTGCCATTCGATGCAGCCTTGGCCACCTCCTCCGTATCTACTCACAACACTTCCCTCTATTTACTCCATTGTATATTCCGTTTGTTATGTCAATCATTTTCTTCGTCGTCTTTCCTTTGCTGATCATTTTCCTCGTGCTACTGTCAACCCCCCCCCCCCCCCCCCCCCCCCCCACGCGCTCATCGCCCACAGGACGGCTTATTCACCCAGTACATGGGTTCCATATCTGGTCATGCCCTCCTTAGATGCTCTTTCCCCTTCGCCTACCTCTTCTTTCCGAGATGGTCCTCCTCACTTCCCCTTTTCGTCCGAACCCGAACCCTACAACTCTCTTCCCCCCCTCCTGCTAATTAGAAGACTCTTTCCCTGTCACGTACCATATCTTGCCATGACGCACTCACTGTGTCATGCCGTGTCGTGCCATATCACAGCACATTGGTCCGGGACCTAGACTGCACCAGCAATCCCCGTGGCTATCACTGTACTCATTATCTCGTTGAAGTGCATTCCTTATCTTCATATGTTTCTTGTACAGCTGTCAACTCCGTTGCCTGTTCTCCCTCTCATCCTTCCGTTTTTCCTCCCTGTTGTCTCCATCTCGCACCTCACCTCCCTTTCCCCCTACCCGTGACCCTTCCCTACATCTCCCCCCCCCCCTCCTCCTCCCAAATCGTCCCCACGCCTCTCGGAGCGTCAGGGCTCTGGACTACAATCAGTTGGACGGCTCCATCCCAGGCGCCTTGGGCAACCTGCACAAGCTCACATACCTGTGAGTCGCCTGGGGGTACCGATGCACAATGTCATGTAGCAGTGCATGGCGGCAGCAGGATGGTGATCGAGTGAGATGGAAGCGAGAGTGTTTGTGGCAGAATGTAGCTGTGCTTCTGGTGCTGGTGGTAATCACCACAAGTGCACGTGCTTGTTTCTGCAATGGGCTAATGGAAGGTCTGCTGATGTGGTTTTAAGGAGGGTCGTACCCCACCCTCTTCCCCTTCCTTCCCACTTGCTCCCCCCTCCCTCCCATCTTCCCTTCCTTCCCCTTTCCATGTCATATCTTCTTCTCCCTCCTCTGTCTGCCCCCTTCTGTCTGGTCGCTTCTTTCCGCTGCCTTCATGTGATGCAATCTTCTAAATACACTCCTCCTACTGTAATCCATTCACACTGTTCCCTTTTTGGTTCACTCCTATCCATCCCTTCTGTTAATGTCCCCCTTTCAACACTCTTCTGTCATTATGCTCCTCTCAATGTGTTCCTCTCAGTGCACTCCTTTTTGTACGCTCCCTTCAATAAATGTATTAAATGGTCTCTCCTTCCGATGCAGTTGTTTCACTGGCCTCTGTCCTTCCCCCCCGCCCACATTCGTCAATCAGGGTGCTGGATCACAACTCCTTCACAGGATCAATCCCGCATGCAATGGGTGACCTCACATGCCTGCAAGCACTGTACGACTACTGGCTGTGCTGAGGCACCCGTTGTACCAGGTGGTGCAGTTAGGCGTGGAATTCACGTTCAACCTTCAAGTGTCAGCCACGTGTCAATCCCAACAGGAACATGTGCAGCACACTATGAAACATCAAAACCTTATCCAAGCCTAAATGGAAATCCTGGTTCAGCTGCATGGTAGTAGCGCTGTCTATGGCTCACGATTGATTAGGCATTGTGAGGTTTTCCAAGACCTTACTGCCTGAAATTGGACAAGCATAACAATGCAACAACTCTTGCCGCTGTGCCCACATGCATATCATATATCCATGTGATGCAGTGCTGTTGAGATTCAAGCTTCAATACCGCAATGTGTCACTGCATGCCATCCCAAGGCAGGTTCCTGCACTACAATTGGCTGAGTGGCACCATTCCTGCTTCCCTGGTCAACCTCAACAGCCTTACAACCATGTGCGCCCTCTTTCCCTGCTTTTGTGTGCCTGCACGTTTTCCAGTATGGGTGAAGGTGAGAAAGGAGTTTCAAGCTCAAGCTGAAAAGTGAAAAGTTTTGTTAAGACAGAAGGCACTCTGCTTTATGGACAGCAGAATTGGGCTCTCGAGTGGGAGGGAAAGGATGTGATGGAAAGTTACCCATGTAGCCAATAGTGAGATACGATACCAGATCCGTCTGCATACAGCTTAAAACCGACAGGCTACGTAATGCCCTAATGCCATATTTATACATATCCCCTTAGGGTGCAAGACACTTACTGGTATCTAACAGCAGCAGTGGAGAACGATATTACACTTACTGGGACTGTATCTTGTCCAGCACAGAGCATTACATTCATGAGCCGATTCTAGCAGATAGGGGCCTGAACATCTATAGGCCACTACATGCATATCTTTCCAAGATTGGGTAATGGCCTCACAGCGTGCAGTTCAACTGCTGTTTCCTTTGCTTGCGATTACAACCCATCTTTAGGGCCTTGTCTGAGAACCTTCTTGTGGGAACAATACCTGCAGTATTCAGCACGCTCACCAGCCTGCAGTACCTGTAAGTATGGCCACACTACACATACAAATCCAAACCCTCCTGTAACCACGGATGCTGCTACAGAAACCCATCCCATCCCATGAAATCATGCGCCGCTCTGATCCATTCTTTCCGAACCATGCAGCCTGTGCTCCCTCTTGCTGAATCAGTTCTTCTTCCGCATCTAAGCCCATTCACACCTACACTTCCCTTGCCTTGCCCCCTACTCCTGGATTCTACTCACCCACTGGCACTCATACAGTGCCTGCTTGCCCTGATTTCGCCTCCTCACATTCGTTGCTTGCCTTCATTGTGTCGTGTCACATCAATTGCAATTGTCAACCCGTCACAGCATGCTGGGATACAACCAGCTCGTGGGGAGTCTTCCGTCGCTGAAGCTCATGCGCGCACTCAAGGCCGTGTCTGCCAAGTACAACTTCCTCACGGGTGCAGCAGAAGGCCTTCCTGCGTGCCCCACATATCAGCTGTTTCTGGACTTCAATTGCTTTGCAGTCGATCTGAACTTTTGCGGCAGCGACCAGACTCAGAAGAGCTCCGGCTGGTGCAAGTGGTTCTGCGGCAACGACCCCTTCAGTCCGCCTTGCAGCGGCCATGGCGTGTGCTATTACGTTGCTCCAAGCACCGATATCGCGTGTGCTTGTGACGCGGGGTACATTGATGGAAGCACTGCCTCGACGTGTGTTGCACAAGGTATGGCAGGAAAACTATTATTCCGTGGATTGAATCCCTTCTACCGTCCCTCATTCAATCTGTGTGCTCCAATTGTTGCTATTTCTGCACTGGCCTTTTGTGTTCATGCCCCGATCATTGACCGATGGTCATTACAGATCTCCACCTATATACCCATCCACGTATCAATGCAACCATACACACACAAGCGTCCCTCATGCCGTGTTACGCCCCAACCCATCTTGCCCATGTGTTTACCAGCCACTCTGGTGTGCACATGCAACTCCAAGTTACCAGGTTCACCTCATTCCTGCCTTACCTGCGCATTGTTGTGTCACCAGGGCCGTACATCCCCGCGCGCCTCTCCTCCTTCTCCGACGCAGTGGATGTGTTCCGCTCCGCCTACTCTGCCCCCAATGGCTCCGTCTTCCTCTCCCCGCCATCGCCCACAGCATCATGGGGAGCAGCCTTCATACAGCAGCCCATCACTCTCTTGAGCAGCAGTTTGACTCGGTGCTGAGTGTGAAGCACAGCGACCCCAACGACAACCACGTGGGCGTCAATGTGGGCGGCTCACCTGTGTCCCTCGCCTCTGCCACGGCCCCTCTCATCCTCAACGACGGCCACACCAAGCACGCCTGGATCCACTACGACCCCACCAGCGGCGGCACCCTCCGAGTCTTCCTCTCAGCCTCCAGGCAGCAGCCGTCCAAGGCTGTGGTGACGGCCAGAGTGTCTCTGTGCAGCGCGCTCAAGCCCACCATAGGGGATTCCTCCTTCCTCTTCGGCTTTGTGGCTGCCTCGTTGAAAAGCGCTCAGGGGCATGACGTCCTGTGGTGGAAGGTTGCCACCGTGAGAGGAGGCGTGACACCTTTTTTGCTGCCTGCACGATGCTGGCTGCACATGAAATAGTCTAGTTGGATGTGGCCTCGTTCTCCACATTTGACATGAAGGAATACCGACCATGACCATTCACGTTGTGTGTTCTTGCGTGTGAACGTGTGCATGCGCCACCTCAAATGGGCGGATTGTGTGTGTATATGTGCCTTCACGTTGATATGTGCAGACGTACCAGCGGCAGTGGAGTGGTCAACTCAGACCCCTGGTAAGGGCATTGTCGTGGCTGTGTTGTGGTGCACCATCATCTCAAATCACACTGTGGTTTTCAAACAGGAAATTCCTTCTAACTCAAAATCCCCGGGCTTCTAAGGTGCGAAGGTTGATTGAGGAGAGAGTGGTGGTTGGTCTATGAGCCGGAACGGGAGTATGAAGAGGGGTTTAGGGTAGACCAACCCAAGGTAGGAAGGGCGAACCACTTGCGGGGGGGGTTTCTATCTTCAGTGTTTTCTAGTTTCCTGATTACTTCGCACTTTCATGTCTTCCGAACTGCACCCTGTGGTTCGCCAGGCAGTGCGTTTGGGATGGTAGCATCAGCAGAGGAGGTGGCAGCAGGCGGTGAGGGTGAGAGTGTGCCCGTGTCGTTCCACTATTCCAGCCTCTCCTTCCTCCCCACTACGGACAGTCTGCCCATGTGGAAGCTTCCTGCATTTGTCACGTGGATGCGGGACATGGCAACATGGCCTGTGAAGAACCAGCATGGATGCGGTATGGCATGGGTAGGGTGCATGGCATGCACGGGGTGCGACATTGTTGGGCTGTAGCATGATTTGGGTGGGGCATGGGGGGTGTAGCATGGGGGGTGTGGCATGGGGGGTGTGGCATGGGGGGTGTGGCATGGGGGGTGTGGCATGGGGGTTGGGGCATGGGGGGTGTGGCATGGGGGGTGTGGCATGGGGGGTGTGGCATGGGGGGTGGGGCATGGGGGGTGGGGCATGGGGGATGGGGCATGGGGGGTGGGCCATGGGGGGTGGGCCATGGGGGGTGGGCCATGGGGGGTGGGCCATGGGGGGTGGGCCATTGGGGGTGCGGGGTATGAGAGGGTGTGGTGAAGCAAGACCTGGAGCACCTGTGCGTGGCAAGCTAGCACATGCCATGTGTGGCGTATGGACTCGTGTTTTCAGAATCTCTGTTTTCTTGGCACTCACAAATAAGCAAGCGTCTAGCTGCCAGCAAGCTGCACCACCATCACCAGCTTTCCTGTTACCCATTTATGTGCAGCTAATTTAAACCCCTCCCCCCCCCCCCCCCCCCCCGCCCCTTCCCCACGGGGCTGCAGCCGACTCCTCGGCGTACGCGGTGGTGGCGGCGGTGGAGGCGGCCTACAGCATCGCGAGCAACGGGTCGCAGCCCCCCCGGCTGTCGGTGGAGCAGCTGCGGGTGGCCCTGTCGGCCAACTGCGACGACATGCCTCCGCGCGATGTGCTGGCCTTCCTGGTGGCTGCCACGCGCAAGGGAGGGGGGCTCGTGGATGACGCAGCAGCGGCGGCCGCCAGTCCCCACAGCATGGCGTCCGCCGGCCGCCGGGAGAGACTGGCCGCGGTGAGTTGCAGCGAGTGGTGGGTGCTGGTGGTGATGAATGATTGGTGATGAATGATCAGGAAGGAGAGCAAACGAGTTCTACAGTAAGCTGGGCAGAGTGCTAGGGAGCTTCAGGGCCTTTCTGATGTCTCACGTGCTGCGAACACTGCTCCCACTTTTTCTTTCTTCACAGCCCTGCGAAACCTACCTCCCACTGCTTGCACCTTACCCCCTTACGGTTTGGTGTGTCAGAAGCCCAAGCACCACGGAATTCAGGGATTTGAGGAGACCTCCTTTGGAGGTTGGTTGGGATTGCTGCTGGCAGTGCAGCGGCAGCCAGTGGTTGTGCGAATAGAGGCGTCTGCACCATCATTCCTTGACTACGATGGGGTGAGATGCCATTGGGTCTGTGCTTGGGTTAATCCCCATAGCTTAAACATTGGATAAGATGCATGTCATGGGGTAGGCATCAGCTTGCAGCTGTATGGAGGTCAAACATCTTGTGGGCTAACTTTAGGCCGGATTTACTCTGAGCCACACCCTAGAATTCAAGACAAGGTTTTGTCCTAGACAAAAGCAGTCAAGTCCACGTGTGTGTTGGACATGAGGTAGAGAGCCCCGAACATAGTGCTGGTTGAAGAGGGACAGGACATGGCCTGGGTGGCGCATGCCATTGTGCTCACTTGCACTCATGCACACCAGCAATGGATAGAGAGTAAACGAATGCACAGATGCCATTAGTGAAAGCACAGGCAGGTGAGGAGGATGATCAGCACTGAGTTGACACCCGAGGCCACGCTAAGTGCCTCATGGGTGTGCCTGTGGAGCAGTGTGGGTGTCGATGCTGATGCATGGCAAGGTTGACACGTACGTGCTCATGCACTAGGGACGCGCACCAAGTTAATTATGTGTGCTTGCTTCGACACAAGGTTATGATACAATATGACATGTTTTCTGTTGTAGTGTGTTTCCCTACTCAGTTGGCCTACATTCTCTTATCAACCCTTTCCCATGTAACAAACGACAATCAGTGTGCGGGGGACATGTGATAAGGAATGATGGACGGGCCAAGCTCGAAATTGCCCATCACGAACCGTCTGTGGTTCATGTTGGACCGCGGTTGGGCCGACTAGTATGGTCGACCCGAGGGGCGACTTGGTTCTTGAAAAGTTGGACCTGGGCCGGTTCAGCTTGGACCCGAGTCAGCCACCGGGCCGACCTGACTCAGCATAGGCCGGATCTGGTCTGATTAGTGCATCATCGTATTTGCGACAGCAACTGAGCCCGTAGTCTATGACACCGCATTATCCGTTGTAGGTTTGAGGGGTATTATGTCCTTGCTGCACCATGGACATATTTTTCCTTCTCATTGACAGCACACAAAGCAGCTCCGCCCTCTTTCCATTCTTTCTAAGTCAGCAGCAAAGCTGGTTTATACAACGTTTTCTTTTAATATAAATTCTTATCATTCATCCATTCATATTACATGCTGTCACCTTACCAGAAATCCAAATACGGAGACGGCAGTTGCTTACAGAAAGGAGTAAACCATGCTGTCTTGGTGGTGGGCTATGGCGTGGAGGGGAGCAGCGGTAGCCCCTTTAAGATGCAGGCGCCACTTTGGGTGATCCGCAACTCATGGGGCAGCGAGTGGGGCGCTGCAGGGCACATGTTCATGGACATGCAGAGCGGGCCGGGCGTGTGCGGCATCAACACACTGCCAGGCATCTTCCCCATCCTCCGATGTACGCACTTGTCTGCATAGGCACCCATTCAGCAGTTGCCATGGAATGCATGATGCTTTGGAAAAGAGAACCCCTGGGAGATGTCATTGTAGATTGTGGAGGAAACGCCATCCTTTTCGGAACTCCTTTTCCAGTAACTTCTGCTGGGCACTACAGGCTCTTGCACTGGACGTTGTGTGCATGCTCATGTTCTGGCTAAGCAGCTTCTCTCATCTGCATGTGCTGTGTGGTGTGTGCACGGCAGCTACTGCCGACCCATGTGGCAGCAAGTCAGTGATGCTGGCGGGCTCACCGGGAGGGGCAGGGAGCAACGCGTTCAACCCGTGTGGGCAGTTCAAGTGCTCCAAGGCCGGAGCATCCAACCGTTGTGCCTGTGATGCTCCCCACTTCGTCCAGGCCTCCCACCCCGACGGCTCCAACACCTGCGCCTATGGTGAGCCCACCCCACCCTCACACTACCTCACACCAATCTGACTGCTCTGTCCCATTTATAACTCGCTTTAACACCTCCTTCCTCGCTCTGCCCTGCCTGCTGCTGCCAGTGGACGCCTGTGGGCTGGCAGGCAGCAACCCGTGTGTGGTGGGCACATGTGTCAATGACGGCAAAGGCAGCTTCTCCTGTGTGTGTCCCCCAGGGTTCGTTCAAGGCACCACTGCCAAGGGAACCCTCTCTTGTGCCCCAGGTACCATCCATCTTCTGTTGCATGTACCTTTGTCCCTCCTGCCCCACATCTCGTTCCAGCTAGATAAAACCAAGTATCAACATCTCTGACTCCATGCAGTTTCACATAATTATAAAAGCAGAGCTCCACCACACGCAAGAGCAGATGTTGGAACACACAAGTATCTTGTAAGATATCTTACGAACAAGTTGGGTGCTAGCTACACAAGTAGAAAAGTTATGAGCGTTGTGCTTGATTCATGCTTCCAATAAGATTATCCACACCCATGGGTTTATACATCAAAGTTGGTATCTAAAAAAAAAAAAAACCCTTTTGAGTTGGATAATGAATCCACATATTGCATGCTGTGCATGCTGTGCCGAAACATGCAGGTGACAGCAAGGGCAGGTACACGGTGCGTGGCAGCAATGTGTGGTGCTCGCATGTGCTGCCTGTGTTCGGCCTCACTCTGGACCAACTCAAGCAGCACAACAAGGTTGGTCACATTAAGTGCTCAACGCATGTGGTCCCACTCTAAAACCGACACAGTTTCTGACATCCATCCCTGGAGTGCCTTTCTCCCCCTTGTGTGTGTGTGCAGAAGCTCTCCTGCTCCAAGCCCATCCCACTGGGGTTCAAGCTCACCGTCGCACCACCTCAGCTTCTTCCCACCTGCTCACTCATCTACACCACCCACCTTGTGAGTGCACCAAGCCAGCACATCTTGCCTCTCACTCTGCTGCCACTTCCATGGGTTGGTCTGCAATTGTATCTTCAGAAATTGTGGCACTCAGTGCATTCGCGTTGAGACAGAAACATGTGGCTGTGTGACTGGACAAAACACGGATGTGCTTGCAGGGTGACAGCTGTCCATCGATTGCTGAGCTGTTCCATTTGAGTGAAAAGTGCCCTGTGGAGGGCGAGGCATGCGGAGAGGCGCTGGTGGGGCTCAACCCCGGGCTGGACTGTTCAGCACTCACAGGCAGGCAGGCTGTGTGTGTGGAGCGGGACGAGAGCAAGGCGGGGGTGGTGGCAGTGTGTGACGAGCACTATGTGATGGCGACCAGTGGCGGCTGCGATGCAGCAAGAATGGCTGTGGATCCTACTTTAAGTCCACTGGAGTTCTATCGCCTAAACCCAGGCATCAACTGCAACAACCGCCTGCCGACTGCTACGTTTGAGGGCTCCTCACAGCGCATGGTGGGACATTGTTTTTCCCGTGTTGAACGCCATTTTCCGATTGCGGAGGCTGTGAATCGCTCGTCCTTCAAAACACCCAAATTTTGCATCCCATACTGCAGGTGTGCATCCGCAGCAGCATCAGGTTCAAAATGGGCACATGCCCAGGTGGCACGTACAACATTTCAGCTGGAGACAGCTGCAAGAAAATTGATGTGCTGAGGTTTGCTAAAATTAAAGGCTGCTACAAAAAGATGAATGGATTTGAGTGCTTAGAGCCGATGCCTTCTGGAACAATTGTCTGCACTCCCAATATTAACAGTGCCCGTGTGGGGATATGTTCACTCAGGCTATAGACAAATGTGAAATATTTCATGAATACATCGTTTTGCATACCGTAATTCTCCACGTATAGCACCAGTCAAAATCGAACACTTACAGGGTGTTCAATCAGAGTGAAAAAAATACCTGGGGACCTAAAGGGTGGTGTTGCTATTAGCAAGGGGGAATTGCAATAGTCCTTGGGTCGTATCTTTTTGGGTTGCGAAGCAACCTATTTCAATCGTTATGTACATTTATTTTTCATTTTCTATTAAAAAAATGAAGAAAATCTAGTGAACGGTAGTTAAATGATTCGGCAATTTGGCACGTGCCGTACCACATTCCTTCTCATTTCCTAGTTTGCCTTGATTGAACCTATACTGTATGGATGAAATATGAACATAAGTTGCCAAAATGATGTAACTGTGAGCGTGTTTGTTTTTGAAGAATATGCCGGATTATGTGATGCATAGATGAAGTATAATGATGGATATGGTGAACCAAATATTAAATGCAAAATGCATAAATATAATGCATATGGTAATATGATGAATATAGTATTTTTTGGTATAAGTAATGTGAAATTAAAGGAATGCTTAGCATGATGAAAATGCATATCAGTTAATTGCCCAGACCCTATGCTACCGCATCCCCTGCCTAGCAAGGGGGGGAGCTCAATAGCATAGTTTCTGAATCATCCAACTGTTATATGAAACAACCAGGGCTGACGTTTCGTTTTAGGCCTTCCTGATTCCAGGGAAAATTTCCCCCCTCTATTATGATGGCACATTTTTCACAAGGTAGCTACTCTGATAACTCAGTGTCAAACAAAGTCCTACTCTGATCCGTCACGGTTCACAGCTCAAAATCAGGGTTGCTATTAACATTGCACTATACTTCAAAATGAGTGATACAACAGCTTGAACTTTCCTACACTATCTAGTGCACGGGTTTGTCGATGTGGTACACCTCCTCCACGTCCTCATCGTCCGACAGGAAAGGGTTGTCCTCCTCTTCCTCCTCCCCCACGATCTCCTGATCGTCGCCCAGGTCCTGTTCCACTTCATCGTCCTCCTCCTCCTCCCCCTCATCCTCGTTCTCCCCGGCAGTTCCAGCAGCCACATCTTTATCCTCATCATGCTTCCCCTTCCTCTCCCTCTCTGCCACGGCCAGCTTCAGGCTCTTCACAGAGCGCCTCCTCCGCATGGACCTCCACACCTCAAGTGCCTCCGGCCAGTCGATCTCATACTTCAGGAGCGATATCTGCATCAGCCCCCCCAGACACGCATTGCAGAGCGCTCCTCGCACCCAAGACTTGATGATGTTCTGCCTGGAGAACCCCCTCTTGCACTCCACGGTGGAGAGGGGAAGCACAGCCAGCGCCCGCCACAACAGGATGAGGTTGGGCCATCTCCTGCCAGGCACATTCGAAACACAACAGAACAGGAAAAAAAAATCAACAAGTTAAAAATCAACAAGTTAAAAATCTTGTACCCAAGCAGTGGGCTTCCTCTTTGAGTCTGCGCTCCCTAGAAAGTTTGACAGGCCCTGGGCGAAGCTCTCCATCTCATGGTGTGTCTCCATGATCGCGCAGAATGTCTGGAGCTCCCTCTCTGCTGCTTTGAGGTCGAATCCCGGCAGCTTGTGGCGGAAGAGCCTGCTGCATATGTGCAGCCACTCCTTGCACTTCATCTCTCGTTGGGCCTTGATCTTCGGCCACTTCCCCGCCCGGAACAACTTCGTCGGGCCCAGCTTCCCAAGGTCATCCAGCCGGTCGTTGAGGTTGTCCACGCGGTTGCGGGCGAATTGGCGGCACAGCTTCACGCAGTCTTTGTAGGTGCTTCCCTGCTTGTGGCCCTTCAGCTTCCTCTCATGCATGGTGTAGAGGTGGTTGATTGGGCGTCCCTCTCCGTCCACGCCTCAAACCCGGACCTGCTTGCCTCCACCCTCCTTCCCCTCGCCCCCAAACGGTTTGGTTGTCGTCAAGTAGCGCTCCGTCAGGTCACCCGTGGTGGACTCAATAGTCTTCGCAATCTTAGTCACATCAAGCTGTCACAGCAGCAATCGACAACGGGGAGTAGGATTAGCAACAGTGTAGGACTACACTTCTCATCTCAACGACATACTAGCATTCAACCTCACCTCACGTCTCTGGAAGCAGCGTTTGAGGTCGTTCATGTCGGCCAGAATGTCGGCCAGGAAAAACAAACAGAACTGGAACTTGTAGCACGTCACAATCTCGTAGGCCTTGTGGTTGTGCTCCCAGAGCAGCACGATGCAAGCGCCGAGGACCTTGCACAGCCTGCGCACCGCATCACCTCGTGACAGCCACCGAAGCGTGTGGATTCCTTGGACTTCGAGGTTTGTTTGGTAGATCACTCGCTGCAGGTACTTGAACCGCTGACTCCACACGCTTGAGTTTCTGAGCAGCGTCGCCATTGTGCGCACCACCTTGTCGACCATGCCCAGGTCCGGGTTTGACTCAGCGGCGTCCTTCACAGCCAACGCCTCACTGTTAGATGCAGGGAATACAAATCAAGAGGTAATGGGTAAATCATAAACGTAGAAAATCAAGCCCAAACCAGGGAGCATCTGATGCTTTCTCCGGCAGGGCTGGCTCTGTCGGTTTCGTTGGTTAAGGTGGCTTGTCAGGGCCAGTCTGAGGAGGAGCTTCGTCGGTCGGCAGGCCCTCCATGGCGGCGAGATAGATGAAAGATGGAGCGAGAGGAAAGTGTGAGGCTGAATGCACGAAATGGATGAAAATGCAGGAAGCGAAGGAAGCCTGGCTTGTCAGAACATTATATAGCTTATGCTGTTGTGTAGGCTATAGTGGGGTATCCCATAAGGGGTACAACCCAATTAGGGTTTCCTATTTGTACTCACTTCATTTCATAGTTCACCCATTCTCGTTCTTCATTTTCACATGGAATCAGAGCAGGTCCCCTCCTAGGGACTGCTTCTAGGGCCCACCGAAGCGCGCCCCGAGGCGCGTTTTCCTTTTTTTTTAGCGACCCTCCGTGTCGCCCCTTGCGGCCCCGCCGCCCTCCCTTCGCGGCCCCGCCACCCTACTAACGCGGCCCCACCGCCCTTCCTTCGCGGCCCCGCCGCCCTGCTCGCGCGGCCCAGCCGCCCTCTGCTTCGCGGCCCCGCTGCCCTGCTCACGCGGCCCCGCCGCCCTCTGCTACGCGGCCCCGCCGCCCTGCTACAACGGCCCCGCCGCCCTCACGTCGCGGCCCGCCCGCCCTCTGCTTCGCGGCCCCGCCGCCCTGCTCACGCGGCCCCGCCGCTCTCTGCTAAGCGGCCCCGCCGCCC